GAAAGAATCTTAAGCTCTGTTCCATTAAGCACAGAGTCATCTATTTCTGTTCACAGGTCTTCTGCAGATGCCCCAGCCACAGGGTCTACACCCACTACAGCAAAGCAGATGCAGGTTATATATTAGTAGAAGTTTTCTATTATTAATGTCACAAAAACAGCAGAAGAGATTGTCACTGGAGGCTGTAAAATCTTCAACACTGGTTTCCTTTTTCCTTTCCTATATTTTAAATATATGTCTAATTCAAGCATACTTGATCCTTTCTAAAGATAGGGAGGGAGGGAAGGAGATGATGCCCAAGTCCCTGGTGGCTGTTTTCTCTAACCAAGGCTGATGTATTTTGACGAGCAAGCACCAAAGAATTCCCAATCTACATTCACTGTGACTTCTTTGGAAGGCACAGCAAAAGACATTTCAGTGCTTTTACTGCTTTTGACTACTGCTAGGAAATACACAGTAATTTTCAGTACATTCAGGACTCTCATCTTGAAAAGTGCACATTCTGATGCAAGACACCCAGAAACAAGGCAGTATGTGCAAGAGCTTTATTGCAGCAATTCCCAGGACCTCTGTACATAAATGCTTGTCTGTCTTTTCCAAGTAGATCTGCTGTTTTATTAACCCTTTCTCGCCCTATAAGCTTTGCCTCAAACACTATAAAGCTACAGGAAAGAAAGTCTAATATGAACAATGCTTGCAGGGTCCTGAAAAACAGCACATCTTTTTAATTCATCTCAGGCCTTACTGCCAAGGCTTGCAAGCTGCTTAGCCCTCCAACAGATTATGCGAGCAACTACTTGAAAGATCATTATTGAAAACTTGACTAAAAAGCCTTGGATTGTTTCTGAGTGAATTCACACACACACACACACACACACAAAGTGTTCCCTATGGCTACCTATAACCTCTGCCGCTTGGGAAGGCATTTTCACTTCATAATGTCCCCCCGTAAGATGAAATCTGGATCCGCACCTCCCCCTCCTGCCTGAGTTCCTGGGGAGGAAGGAAGCCTGGGCACACAGGCCAGCGTTAGTGAATGACCAGGAGAAATACATATGCCCACTAGAAACCAAAATTATCAGTAGCTTCTTTAAGCTTCCTTACAATCTACAAAATGCAAGGAAGGAGAAGGAAAAGAAATAAAAATAATAAAAACATGTACACACACAGTGATTTTACTGTAAAATCCCTATTTACCCATAAGACATACCCAACAAATCTCGGGTGTTATCAGTATATAAAACCCAACTTTTACTTATAGCACATATGGGCATCCATCATTGTTTTCTGGATGAGAATTGGCCACAGGCTTTCCATCTTTGCCACATCCACCCTAAATTAACTTAATCCATTACATTTGATGCTGAATCTCACAGCCAGGACATAATCTCTGACTAACATAAAACTCCCTCCCCTATTTGGACTGTTATCTCTCTACCTTGAATCCCAGCTCAAGACTTTGCTCCTAATGTTAGGAAAAAACAAGTCGTGCAAGTTCCAGATACGCTAAATTACAGACTAAAGAATATTTAGATCCACTACTCGAATCAAAGCAGAGAACTGGGAACCAAGTATTCCTGTCAAAAAGACCTACCAAAATACACGAAGTCCAGAGTTGACCATCCCAGCCCACACGCAGACACGCCGGTGCCCAGATGTTCCAGACTTGCGCTAGGAAGTCTGCTACTGTTCTAAATATGCAGATACTGGAGATTTATTTCTGTTGCTCCTTGTTTCTCTAGTAGTTAGCCATCATGACCACGTTAGCCTAAAGGGAAAGGACCAGATGTTACCTTGGCACAAGCAGGACAGAGACAAAACCTTCTCCTCCTCTTATATTTTAATTAGTCATAGATGATAAGCACACAGTAGGTTTAGAAACTCTTTTATGGTTCTTTGCCTGTGTAACTCTTACTGATTACTACCCAAGGTGTTTCAGGTACTCAAAAGAAGGTATAGGAAAACTTCACAAGATTATGACACTTTTAAAGGAAAGCCCTCTTTTCTGGAATACTAAGGCTGCTGGAAAGGGAACTGGAAAAACACCTTCTATTTTGCCCTTGAGAGTTCAACATGCTCCACAAACTACTTAATGACTGAACTGCTAACACAGGGAACCCCTGCTCACACATATGTTAATTCCTGACACTTTCATCAGTGAGATAACAGAAACTGCCACAGGAGATTTGAACAAGACAGCACAGACAGACCAGGCACAGTGCCTTGGACATTCAGATCAGTTCTCCACTAGCCAAATACAACAACTTGTGCAGAAGTTGGCCAACTTTCACCAGATTTTTTTTTTTTTTTTTAAAGTCAGTTTGGGCTCAAAACATCCAATTATCATACTGCATAAAGCTGAAAGACAGGACTCTAGGGATTACTGCAGTTCACTATCTATCCTTTAGATGAGTGGCAGACAGAGACTAACGAAATGAAGCATTCAGTGCAGTTGCCAATGTGCCACACAACGCCAGCAAGAGCAGCACCACAGCGGCTCCACCACCATCCCTGGAGGTTCTGCCAGGCCCGAGCGGCAGTTGCTGGTCGTGTTTGGGTACTTACTGAACTCCTTTTTGTTTTTATTAAGGCTCACTTTCAGCCAGCTCCTAATCTCACTACCGCAGTAGGAGAGTGGGGATGAGATGCCGTCTTTTGCATAAAAGCCTCACCAACAAAATAATGAAATAAAAATAGCATCTTGAAGCCTCCAACACAAGGCTTCCTCATCTCCCCTTTTTAAAAGGGAGAAGAAATCTAAGACAATATTCAGTGTAAATATTCAAGTGTAACTTTTGAGAAGAACCATCCTGTCATATTCTCCCAATCTGGTAAAAAGGCTATGGACAACCTTTACCAGACAGGAAAACCTAAGTGCTAATCAAGATTTCTAATATTGAAGATGTGCAGCAAGTTAAGAAAGAGCTTAGTTTTTATCTTTAGAGATTCTATGAAATTTCTGTTGTGCCCTATTCTGTTTTAGTATTTCCTCATAAAACTACTGCAAAAAAGTCAACACATTTGTGCAACTTGATTAAAACAAACAAAAAACGATAACAGCCCCCATTATCCCTCAGCTACCTCCTGAGATAGACTGACCTAAGAACCTCTCTCCTGCCTACTTTTCTGAGTGATATCTAGTATTTCACAGCAAAGAAATACCTTGTATGACAGTATTCAGTAGAAGCTGGCACTTCATACAGCTAGGGCTGCATATTGCATACTAACATACAGCTAGCACTAGTTTTACAAGATGCTTATATTATCACAACAGTGAAAAGGTAGTTTGAGGAAATGGTGATAAAATGCTCATAAAACTAAAAAAGAGTTTTGAAAGCAGAGAAGCATGAAACATAGGAGCCCTCCAAAAACTGAGTCTCAGCAAGAGTTAATAGAAATATCACAGAAATAAGGCAACTGACACAATATTTGCTCCAATAAATCTTAGAAGCACAGGGTAACAACTCCCAGAGGACACCCTGGCATAGCAATGAGAAAAGGAGGCAAAACCCTAGGAGAAACCACTCCTCAGGTTATGTGCCAAACATGCTTGAGAGGGGAAGAAAAATCCTAATTGCAAATCAACTAGGAAATGTTTGCCTTAAAAAAAAGTAAAATAAAGAGATCACATTAAGTGTGTGATAACATAAAAAGATCGTAACATAAATGTTTTTATTTTTAGCCTGGATAAATATGCTGTTGCAAAACACTCTCCCTTACTCCCTCAAAAAATTTGCAGGGAAGTGAGCTGATTCTTCTGCAGAACAACAGCCGCTATTCAGAGTAGCCTGCAGCTCCTTCCTTTGGAAAGGAAGGCTGTCAGAACTGGCAAAGGCAGATGAAAGATAAATCCAGGCCCTGTGATAAAAGGGCCTTTCTTGAAAAACTGAAAAATTAAGGTTCTTTGTGATACAAGGATGAACCCACACTGGGGGGAAACAGGTATGGCAACACGTTACAGGAATCTGCCAGCAGCATCACGACACTTTGCCCAGTATTACTGAAATAACACTAAAATAACAGCCACTTGTTCAGAGTTTTAATGCTTCTACAAGTTTTCTCTAGCTGCTAGCCTACACAAGACAGAAATCCACAGTAACCTCAACACTAACAAGTAAGACTTGTTGAGCCCTCATATGCTGTGTCACAAAACAGTAATACAAATCTAACACTTTAATACAACATATATGTGCATTCGATATTAATCACATTTACATATTTAAATTATCCTACTACATTAACAATGCTATAGATACAATATTTGGTAAAAAAAACAACTAGCATGGTTAAGTCTTCAGATTTTGGTACTGTTTTTTAGCAAGTGTAAAACAGAATAGAAAAAGTTTCCACGTGAAGAATAAAGTGTATTTTAACATATGCATTCAAATCTGCTGTGAAATACATACGTACGCTGACATGTACACAAAACCTTGCTGTAATAAAAGGTATTGTAAATCACTATATTTATAAGAAACTGCCCAGTCGAACAGTTTCCCATTACACTATAGTAATTATTTTTAAAAATTAACATGGCATCCTCGTCTTAATCCTTCAGAAATAATCCCTCCTTAAAAAGTGACCTTTTTTAAAACTGTATGAACTAGAAAATATACAACTCTACAATAGGAAGAGGTTAGAAAAGTTGAATACTGTGGAAAAAAATTTATTAATCTATACAGGTCTTCTGAAACAAACCATTGGCTTTGTTACAGTAAATTCAAGTGAATACTCATTGCAATAGTATTTTCCATACAGAGATCCAAAAGCTGTATAACTTCCCATTTAGTATCTGGGACAGGAAGTTATATTTCGAACAAGTAGCCACAACAAAGCAGACATAATACAGATCTTCATAGTCATAGTGAGCTTAAGTTTGAGCTTAAGTTACATTACAAACATTTAGGAAAATTAGGTATCTGTACTGAGGTGTGGTAAACTGAGTCACAATAAAAGAAAAAAGATGTTATTCAAACCTGTCGCCAAAATGAAGACTTTCTGTAGCAGGTCTAGAGAAGACTGCATCATAAAAACCCAGTGTGCAAGAGTATCATGAATGTAGTATATAAATATCAGAGGATTAAAACTCCAGTTAAGCAGTCAACTGAAGCAATGATTAAAAAGGAAAAAAAAAAAGGCATTCTCCAGCTTTGCAAAGGAAACTTTCAAAGCATCTCTTCAAAAAGGTGCTGAAACTATGGCCTGTGCCAGTTCATATTTTAGACAGCTCTGCTGAAAGAAAAATTTAGCAGATTTGTCTAGAGAATTGTATAATCATGCTGTTTTAAATTTTTAATACCATAAAAAAGCATTTACTAGAAGAGATGAAATGTAGTATTTATAGCTCGCATCCTTTTGGGAATTTGTGCATACTATCTTGTTCTATAATTTCAAGAGTACTTAAAAATGAGACAAAAAGCAGACAACGCAGTAATGTCTATGTGTTAAATGAATCTGTTTAGAGTAGTTACACAATGATCATATATGAGCAAAAAAATCTGGGTGCATTTGTTCTTGCACATTATTTATGCTACTTATAAAAACCTGAAGATTGCAAATTGGGCATGCTTACCATAGTGTTTTCAACCTGGAAAAGCTGCAAAACATTTTTTCCAGAAGTGTTCACTACCATGATACAAAACAAATATGTGCAAACTGCAAGGTCCCTAAAAATAGCATTTAATGAATTTATTTACAGAAAGATGTCACTATCTGTTTAAATATGCAAAGAAAAAGCTTCCCAAAGTTTATAACACAAGGCAGTATCCACTACATGCTCCTCCTCCATATCGTTCTTCCTTGTTTGTTAACTTTACACCTCTGTTTTGGCTCTCACTCTCCCACAGTCCAGGAGTCTGAATGATTTTTTCAACAAGTTCTTCAAAGGCACACTGTACACCATCACATGTTTTTGCACTTGCCTCTGGAGAAGGGATGCAAGAGATTACATGTTAGCACAGCTTCCACCAATAACTTGCTCAGTAGTTCGTTTTTAAATTAATTCAATGTAAAACTTTGAGCTATTCACAACTTCTAGGAGCAGTATAGAGACATACATCTGGAATGTGAGACTTACTGACAAACTGTACACAATCATAAGCTCCAATATCTTCATCATCAGTACAACTTTCAGCAAGTTTAACAGTTAAAAACTCCATTGTGTCGCAGAAGACAACACTACTTCTACATCACATTCTACAACAATGTAACCATAGCAAATGTAGCAGATATGCAGACTCATACTGCCAGCTAAGGCAACACCTCAAACACTCTCCTACAAAAAAATGGTTTCCTCGATGAACATCATTGGACCACTGCACCCTAGCTTTGTTTTTATCCACTTGGTATGGAACATACCAAACATGTGGAAAGCATTTCAGCACAAAGAAACAGAGGCTCTACCACCTCAGGATGTCTGATGAATCTGCCACTATTCCGTATTTCAGTTCTCCACACTGACCAGAACCCCAGTACTATCAGATCATAAGCAGCAAGGAACTCTGTAGCATGTGATTCTCTAGGGTATAGTTCATCCAGTAATAAAGGATCTCATTTGTTTTACAATCTCATTTAGGATCTTTAGTTAAGTCCAAGAAACTTTTGTTCACAGGGTATATATACTATGAAAGCAAACAGCTGCCATGTATAACTGTTCAGTTCTACTATAAGATCGCCCTCCTCTTCTACACAACTGTCATATCTAGCTTAATTTTACACCTATTTTAAGTCTCATATTTCTTTACATCTTCCATGCATTTAACCACCTGTACTCCAAATTCTTCCATTTCCACATATGACACCAAAGTCAGAAACGAATACAGCAAAGTACTAAACAAAGGTGTATCAGTAATTAGAGAGAAGGAACACAACCTAAAGTGCACGAACTCTCCAGGAACTACTTTGCCACTGGAGCTGTCCTTTAAAGCAATCCTTGCTATTCCTTAAATGAAATGGGTAAACTTGTGGTGATAAATGACTCTTCACGCCTTCATCACCTCTTCATCATTTTCTTTATCACTGTGGTGATAAATGACTTTTGACTTGGGTTTGACTCTAAGACAAATCTCATTTTGCAGCAAGACAGACACCTTTCCTTCAGTTACGATTTTGTCACTACTACACTCCACTCACCACTTACAAGTTACTGACTGATTACAGTGCTATTTTGATGCGTATTTCTGTCAAGTATGAGCCCCTTTGCTATCCTGGAAGTGGGCCAGTAGTACCACTTCTCCAACTTTCATTTTTCTACTGTTATTAATTCAGCAACTAGCTCTGGAAAATCAGGCAAATAACAAAAGCTTCAAAAAAGCTGGAACAGGTTCTGTCAAAGCACAGCAGGGCCAGTACTCCATCCTTAATCCTTATGCAGCTCAGTGTGCTCACGTGCAGCTCGACTTGAGATCTGAACATATCTCAACTGATCTGACAATCTGACAATCAGATCGATCATCTGACAGTCTCAAGATGAGAATACCCATGACCCTCATGGCTACTGCAGATAAGAAGTAGCGTTAATTGGACGGTATTTTTAAAGACTATCAAGAATCCAGAAGTAGTAGTTTTCATTATGTAATAGAAAAAAAAATCAAAATTATCTTTGCAAATATCTGTAACATACCTATGAATAACATGGAATGTTTTCTTGCAAATTTGAGACCTTCATTTCTGTCAACTTCACGGTTTTCCTACAATAAGACATAGTATTAATATGTACTGTAACCAGTAAACAGTAACAGACTATTCATCACAGCTAAATTCAGTTTACCTTATCAATCTTGTTTCCAACTAGCATTTTAACTATGTCATTCCTTGTGCAGTAAGTTTCCAATTCATTTAACCAGTTATCCAGCTTGACAAAGGTATCTCTTCTTGTGACATCATAAACTGAAAGATATCAGCAATATTATTTTGCAACTTTTTCCCCAATAAACACAGCTTTTTCCCCAATAAACACAGCACAAACTAAGCAAAAAATGACAGCTTCCTGAATAGGGGAAAAAAAAAAAAGAGTTCCGAGGACTTCAACAATCACCGATGACACTAACGCTGAGAAAATTTAATATTCAGTGACCTTCTGTTCACAGAAGAATTTGTGTTTATACAACCAGGTTTTCAGGCCAGAGACTATAATTCTCTGAACAATTACACACTTGTAGACCTCTGGTGTAGCATTCTTACTAAAAACAACATTACAAATAAGATATGCCAGAAGGATGACAGTTCTCTGCATCGAGTCTCTTTCTCACTAGTGAGAATTAAGACTTGTGTAAGGCTGCTGCTATGTTGTGGATTCAGGTAAGTATTCGGTCCTTTTTTGGTATCATCTGCCCCCCCCAAAATCCCAGTGAACTACTGAACTCTAATACAGGTTTTCCAGTATTTTAGTGTTTCAGTCTATGTAGTATTGTGTGAGGTATAAGCAGTAAGAAAAGCTAAGAGCAGAAACTGCAGACAAAATGCAGATCCTGTTATCTTAAAAATTACCACCCATGTGATTATCTAAATTTACAGGTAGCACGGACAGCACTTCATTTTTTTCCTTCATATTCTTATTTCCCATGGCCTGGCTGACATAAAACGTTGGCTGAAATTAAACCTACAGCTTGGCTTGAACACATTAAGGTTATCTTTAGGAAGTTGTTTAACAGAGGCATATTCAGGAAGAAAAAAAAAATCAGAGAACAACCTCAATAGCAAAGCTTTCAGGCTCCCAAACTGTATTTGCTTACTGTTAGGGCTCTCAACAATTAGTAGCAAGTTAAGTGCCAGCAAGTGAAAGCAACTGACTTGATGCGACAAGTATCTCTTGCTGTATTTGTAAGATGATGCACCTCAAAGCTAGGAAACAGTACACACAAAATACACCAGGAACGGTTTCATAACACAAGTTATTCAAGTTAAGAACTTAACCAGACACAGTAACTGTAGAGCCATTCTTACCAAAAATCCTCAAGTCAGAGGCAGCTTCAAACAAAATCTAAAAAACACAACCCCCTCTACCTTTAATTTCTTTAACCCCTCAATTCTAGTAATGAAAAAGCAGAACTTCAGAGCTCAGCACATAGTTAATAGGTTTTCATATACAAAAGAAAAGATATATTTCATTACAAAATTGCAATTATGGGGTTTGTCCTGGGTTTCTTCCACTAACTGGAGCTTTTTATACTCCCAAGTACTCTAAGTGATTTTGACAATGTAATACCTCAGTACAGGAAAGCAAACAGCCAAAAAAAAAAAATAGATTCCAGAATGTTCATTAGGAAAAAGGAATAGGGGAAGGAAAACAGAAGCCCACAAGAACACTCACTCAGGACAAAAGAAAAATCTTTTAACTTAAGGCTTACTAAGCACAAGCAAAAACCAGAGGTTATAAATAGAGCATGAAGTCTTAAGAGTAAATGGACAGCTCCAAGCTATCCACTAAAAAAAAAAAAAAAAAAATCTCATGCTAAACCAGTGTTTCTCAGGCTGGGGAGACAGACTGCATGACAGGTAAGACATCAAACTTGGGATGCTTTTATACCAGCTGTTGAACACACCAGTTTAGAAAATAGCAACAAAAAACATTTTAGTATCAATTAGATATTGCAGAGAGGTTACACAGTTCATATAACTCAAATGCACTAGAAAAAACACTATGCATTATTCAAAATAGCATGCGAAGTTATACTTACCTAGAATAACACCCTGTGCACCTCTATAGTAACTGGGTGTTAATGTTCTGAACCGCTTTTTCTGCAGTATCCTAAAAAGCCATTCAGAAAGTTCCATTATTCAAAATTTGAGCAGGACCTAGTGCAGCCCTCACAGGCATTCTGCTTTTAACAAACACACAAAATAAGCTTCAAAGTCATTTCAAATATTCAACTAGCAGAATAACTGAGTTTATAAATCCTTCTGCCATGTTACTGCACATGAACTCTAGACCCTACGTAGCCTGCCCTGGGAAACAGCTTTACACTGCTAAATGTAGTCAGTAACAGGACTACATACCAAAAAGGTGGTTATTTCTGCTGAAGTAGCTGCTCTGTGGCTTATATAACTACATAAACAAGTACAGCTGCAGCATTAGGTTTAAGATTTTGTAACAAGCATCACAACCTGCAGCAACAAAACCAGCTCCCCAAGTTTAAACAGTGTCATCTAAGTTTGATTCAGAGCTAGAGTAATTGCATTTAACATGCCACAACAGAGATTACAGTCTTGCCGTTTAAGTTGGATTAACATCATCAAATACTTAATGTCAAGAGCTCTACAAAAACAAGAATGCTGATGTCCTTTTCAAGGCTAAGCTACAGGGCAAGCCATCTCAACACTATATTTGTTGCAGACTTGAGCAAAGCCTTCCAGTTTCCACAGCTAGAAGCCAACTGCTGCTAAGTCTTTCATTTTTGTCAATTGATGTCACCTCCATGAACACAAATGTAAAGGGAACAAACAACTCCATAGCCTTTGCAACACACACAACACAGCACAGGTTCAAAATGGTCCCCCAACAAAGGGCCAAAGTATCTGAACTAGGCTTTGCAACTTCCTGCAACTCAGCTTCACAAACTGGTTTGCTATCATGGTACAATTTTACAAGCTTTTCTTTTAAAATTAACCTCACAATTATTTCTTCTGAAAGAAAAAAGTTATTCACCAACAAGAAAGAAGATAAATCCTAGAAGATCTTATGTAACAATTTCTGCCCCCTTATCATGGGTCATACTGCTATCAGTCTCTGCCATCCCACATGCCTTGATGTCTGTGAAGTTTCTGCAATATTTTTCCCTGTCAAACCCATTAATTCCTGTGGGGATTTCTGCTGTCTTGCTAAGACAGAAGTCTTGTTTGTCACTTCAGATGTGACACATCCTCAAAACAAAGGAAGAATTATAACACAAATATAATGTTTCACTACTTCTTTCCAAGCAGGAAAGGTCGGATATCCTGACAATATAAGAAACAAGGTTTTACTACGGCATGCTACAAAAAGCAATTTTTAGCATATTTTGAGTTAAAATGCTTAAAATATGTTTTAAGTTATGCAAATATGAAATTCACTTAGCAGACCAGCAAATGTTAAAATAAATAAAAACACCTAAGTTTGGAAGTACTTTTTCCATCCTTGTCATGAATTCAGAAGTGCTACTTTCAATTAGAGTTGAACGTCAACCACGCTAAGGCTGACATCACATTACTGCTCCCTCTTTCTGTTAATCAGTTAAGCAAATTGTATCAGTTAAGTGAAACTGAACCAAGCATATAAAAGTCTCTCTCCAAGAAAGAAGTTTGGTTTTTTTTGTTGGTTTTTTTGTTTTACAATATTTCTTAGCCTATTAATATACTACTAAGTTTTGTCCAAAATGCTTGTTTTAAAGGCTTTAAAAATTGGTAATTACAGAGAAGAATGAGCAGCACTACAAAGTCTTAAATTATTAATGACAATACCCACTCTCTTCAAATATTCTAATTTCTAATATTTCAAATATTAGAAGTCAGTCCTTGGAATATGAGCAATGAATATTTAGGAATGACCACATTCACATTTGCAAAGTATCATCAATTTAGTACCTTGTCATTTCTTCCTGTTTTCTCTCCCATCCAAGTCAGACACAGAAACAGCATTGTGGAATTTGACAGGCGACAGAATTGTCAACCCCAGTTCATTCCATCTTCTGAATGGGCCAGTATTAACCTCCCACTCCTCTAACATGCCTTTGTCAAAAATAATAGTAATTCTATACAACTACACTACATGAACCTTTTCTAAAACAAAGCAACACAATAGGAACTTGGTGCGGACGGCGAAACTTACCCATATTGCCAGCTTAGCTTTATTTCCATCAACCGAAATAGTTTTCACCTTGAAGTCCACACCTAGAAGAGGAAAAATATTTTGGTTTCTTGAGCACATGCCACAAGCATTTCTACAAAAAACACACACAACAACAACAGACACCACCACCCACCACCCTGGAAACAAATTGTACTTTGACAGGAGCAAACTGGGTGTTTTGTCAGTTGCTTCCGAACTTTGTTCTCAAAACTCAAGATGAAAGACTTCTGCAAAAGGACTCAAGCACACTTTAGGCCATGGACGCATCAAATATTTTACAGTTTATTGAAGCAGTGTATTTCTGGAAAAATATTCAAGTTTACCATTCAAATGGGATAACACAGCAAAGAATAGAAAGTTAACCTTTTATTAGCTGTATCTGGAAGTGAGAGTGTCCTGCCCCGCTTCACCGGACAGGCAAAACACCTTCTATTCAATGAAAATTGCCTAACTGTCTAGGGACAGAAGATTTACATACACTTTTAAACCAAAGCTGATGGTAACACTGAAAAAGATATTTCAAATTTTGCATGAGAAATACAAATAAACTAAAATACTAAAATTTCATGTATTATAGCTTGGTTATTGAAAAAATAGCTAACATTAGCTAAAATCACACTAAAATATATCTTTGAAGAGTATCAAATGGGAAATAGATTATACAATATAATTCCAGCATAACAAGTTTTTCAATACATGCAAAACACATTTAGAGAAGAAAAGTTGTTATAATGACCGGGGTCTGATAATGAGTCTGCATGAACAAAACAGGTGGAAAACTGCAGAGCTCGAGAAAGTCTTGCTAAATTTAGCAAAGCGGTAGCAAAGCGGTAGTTCTGTTCTCTAAACTCTTTCGGGAGATGCACAAATTTCCTTGTGTGACAAAAGGCAGTTCCAAGCTTGCAAGAAGAGTGATGTTTTTAGCCTTGACACCAGAATGCTGACAGTGCTTTCCACTGTGCCCAGGAAGGCAGCCAGGGATAAGAGAGCCCTATTCCGTTATGCTCCTGCATGCTGACAGCTACTGCCTCCAAACAGCTTCAGCACTGCATACTAACACACTGCAGACCTTCGGTCTGTAAGGAACAATTCTGTCACTGTCATGCCACTCTGGCATCTAGGCCAGTGTGCCACACCAAATTTATCTCAAGTGCAGCATTAGTTGGAGCATGCTATTTCTGTTTTAAATAACTGGCAAGTAAGGCAACTAGGAGTTGCAAGGCTAAGTGCAAGGACGGCTAAATACCTATATTTGCATCTAATGTTTCATAAACATGCATGCAATACAATGCTTCATTTATAAGAATTGCACTGAAAATTTATGTAGAAGCTCTCAAAGAGCGAGCAAGCAAGCACAAGCAGTAAAGACAACAGATAAAACACTGAGGTAGAGTCTGATAAGATCCTTGTAACAAAGCACTGTGAACTAATTTGCTTCAAGGGAATGCAAGGAAGAGACAAGTGATCTGGCAAGAGGAAACAGCAAGACATTTAGTCCAACTAAAGCTACCAGGAGTCAAAGTATTCAGTAGTTCAAAGTTGCTCATGCTCCTTTAAATACTACAGGATTATTTGAAAATTATGACCCCAAAAAAATGATGAGTTAGATTATAAAATTGGACTCACTAGCTGTAGGTTTTCATAACCTACAAAGATAAGACATCTTTATGTCTCAATAGGTCATTACAAGGGAGCAATTAGACTGCAGTTAAGGCTTTACTCATGAAGTCATTCTTACACATAGCATATGCATCTCATCATTGCATAACCCAAATAAAAGCTAGTCACATAAAACCAGATCAACAGTCAGAAGGTATCAATGACATTAAAGGACAAAAGGTTTGAACTAGGCATTTAGGATCTGTCTTCAGAATACCTCCATCCTTGAAGATATTCAAAAAACCTGATGGAACAGAGTTACGGGCAACCCACACTCCAGGTGATCCTGCTCAAGTCTGGGGCTGGACCAGATCACCTCCAGAGGTGCCTCAACTATTATGTGATTTATGTAATAGACAGTTATATCTAAGACCTCACTTAAATATTTATTTTATCTATATTGATAATTACAAATCCAGTCATAAATTTAGAGCTGATACAGTGTCTCTCAATACTGCATTCACCAAAAGAGATGGAAATGCTGTGGTCATCTCCCTGCTATAGCCTAACAGCTAAAAAAGGCGAAAACGAATCCCAGGGCTTGCTTGTCTCTTCCCTGCCCAGTTAAAGGGCAGACCATACACTCACATGCTGCTTTCTCCTACAAATGCCCCACACACCATGCCTTAAGACCTCCATGATTGGCATCCTCCTAGCTCTACTGCATGATTCTACTAAAATATCATCTAGAAGGGCTGAATAGCTGTGGTGATCCAGAGCAGTAATTGCTCAGTCTCTGGAGCTTTCCTTCCCCTTTCTGCCAAATGATCACATACATTTCAAGTCAGTATAATTGTTTCAGATTTCAAACTCTTGTTTTTCCCTTTCATCCCCTCCACATAAAATACAGACATCTTTTTCTGCCAGTAGTGAACTTTGAGGTATTTCTATTTCATTAGCGACCACATACACTGTTCTGTATTTTGAAAAACCCTGAAGAGCTAGAATTATTTCAGGAAATAATTACTTGGTTTCTCAAATAGCTCACTAATGTCAGCTTGAGGTTGGTAAAGAGGCTACATAAGAGCAGCAGAATGAGAACAACCCACTTATAAAAATACACCAATTAAGACTGAGCTTATTAGTATCTGGAATATCAAAGCTAATAAAGATTTTCCATACCAAATGCCTGACCCATACAGGTGACATACAAAGGCAGCAATGCAATTCTAAATACATCCAGCACCAGAACTAGATTAAGATGTGAGGTTGCCACCCTCAGCGATTAGGCTGCTCCAGTCCTGCCTCCTCCCACCCTTTCTCTCTCTAGAATTTTCGGGTCCTTTGTTAAAAGCAATGGAAAGAACAAAAACAGGCCATGCTCCTGCTCTACTGGGTTAGAAACTACAAGGCATGGAGAGCACCAGTTGTATCTCAGAGTCCAGAGAAAAGGAGGCTTGCTTATCCTAGAGGATGGGCATGGCAAAGGATCCAATATTCATTATGATCCAGTCCTCATTTTGGTGATTAGCTCCCAGGGACAGGCCCCAGCAAGACTGAATCACCTGGTAAACAGAGAAAAATAAATGCGTACAACATAAACAATTCACCAAAAAATCCCCCTGTACCACCCCCAGTCTGGAAAAAAAAATCGCTATTTTTGATATATTAAGTGTGAGGAAAATGAACTAATGAAGATTTATGAACCAAGCCAACACCACAGCCACAGAGCCAATTTGCTCCAGCTATTCTATCATCCATCTATTGAAGGACTCTGTACACTCTTTTATTTCTTCCTTTGGGCTCAAAGTTTCATCACAACTAAGTCTTCTTGTAATGCGTAATATTGTTTCATTAGTTTGGGGAAATTTGTGCTTCATTTTGAAGTAACGCACCAAACACAAGACTACATTGACTACTGTTTGACAGGCATTTCTCTGAAGCCATAAAAAAAGCTTTTATGATTTATGATGGTATAATAAACATGCCAAACTGCAAGGCTTTATCACCCATGCTTTTCCACCAATGTAACAGCACTGATGAAAAAGCTTCAGTAGTTTTCAGAGTAGGTTTTGATGTCAGTATTATAAAAGACACTATGTTAACATATAACAATAATGTTATATGTTATGTTACATGTTATGTTATACATTATGAGACAGCAAAACTTGCTAACTTTAGAGGAAGGTTAAGAACTTAGCAATCAGCTGGACTAAGAATCAAAAATTGTTCTTTCACTTCAGGAAGTTATCAGCTATGGCCCTGACCTTGATTTTATGCATTCTTCTCCTCACTTAGACTTAACCGTTGCCCTACCTTCCTCACAATGCTCAGTGACAATCCAAGCTGGATTTGAAAGAGCACCTATTTGTATTCATCACTGTGGCATACAGTGATAATGAAGGCAGCCCTGTGCAGCAGATGTTTAATTTGAAGCTAATAGAAGTCTTACATTCACAATAAAATCACACCTATAAAGGAAGCGTTGAAGGCTGAGGTGTCTAGAAGGTATTACAAGCACAGAGATAGACAGATGCACCTAAGATATGAAGATAACCTATAGACAGAACAAAAAAGTCAAATTAATTGACGTGTATTTCCATGTAAGCAATTTATAGTACTTACAGAAGCATGTTTTCCTTAATCATAAACAATACTGGATTCCTCTTGCAGGTATTCAACTTAATTTAGAGGCCAAAGGCTACTTTCTATGGCCATCTTGTGCATAGTTGGGATAGGTGCCCAGGGAACCAGGTATGCGCCTCCAAATAATGACACACCTTAAGTATTGCTGTTAAGTCTCACACAAATCACAAAGTCTACTGAAAGTATTTCAATAACGTTAGGCCAATACTGCATAGCGAACATACTCTTGTACAAAATACAGCTGAAGATGGAAGCAGTGACACAGGGCTATGTGAAGATGTTTATTTTAAACAATCTCGAATCAGGAATTATATCCACAATGCATGAACCAGCAATTATTTCCTCATGGTCTACACTAGATAGAGGAAAGCAGCAGCATCTGAATGAGTGTTTTGTCCTTTCTGAGGAAAAATTAAAATAGTTCTTCTGCTGATGAAGTACTATGTTTAGGCTTGACAGCACTTGAAAGCTACCATCAGAAGTTCAATAACAAAGCTCTGAAAGTTTGGCACTGTCCTATTAGGCAGGCCTATGAAGTTAGATAATGGATAGCCCAAAAACTATCTCCATCCATAAATGGATTTCAGTCTTTTCTGAAATTATAGTCTTCAGAACAAAACAATGGTCCTTGGGTTTCTATAGAAATTAACACATAATGGCACCCTGATTTCAGCTAGGCCACTGGATTGTACTGCATCAGTAACATCAGTTGAATTTTTTATTTTTAAAACAATCAACCTCCACACTTATTCAGGAAGTTATATAACATTACCAAGAAAGTCTTAGAAGTACTTAGTAGCACGTGCCCATTTATTGTCTTTGCAAAGATCACTCTCCCATCTTATTATGCTTATACCAGTGATTCTCATATGGTAGCCAGAGCCAACAAAAGCTCTTTAAAGATGCAAAGTGAGAGAAGGCTGAACAGAGAGCATTAAGGAGTCTCTTATGAACTATAATTCTCAGTGACCCATATGAAACCACACCCTTATATATCTTCCTAACATTAATGACAAAGGTTAATTTATTCATTTCTCTGAAGCTGTTAGGCAGAGCTAAGTGTTTACTAACATCTGAACTTTCAGAAAAATATGAAACAATAAGCTTTAGATTAAGATGCATTGTATTGAAATAATAATCACTCTTTTCTATTATTTTAGTAATTTGTTTGGCACAGATGGCTGCATGATGTTCTTCAAAGTTTCATTTTCTTTTCACAACCAGATCCATCCCTGCATTCTGCATGACTCCCTTCCAGCAGTTGATTCCACTGTTAGTAGGTATAATACCAACACAGTCATGGTACACCAGTCTTTTAAAGTGGCTCTAGATTCTTGGCTCTCTTCCATTTTTCTCAAAGTCTAGCTGACAAGGAAATGATTATTAAGCAGGAGAGGAAAAGCCATATTGTAATTTCCATCCTATAGAAGGAAAACAGAGGCCACACAGATCAGCCCAGTACATCACAGTATTCTCTGTAGCTGCAAGAGCCAACATCCTTTCTAAACGGTCTTAAGTCCTAAGTACCTATGTAGCTATCTGAACAGCAACAAAACACAGGCTCTGGACAGAAATCAGCAGGAGACCTAATAGTACACACCATTACACTTCCATTTCAGCCCAAAATGCTGACAAACACTGAAGTGCAGGTTGTTCTACTAGAGCACTCTGTTCACTCAGAACTTTCACCTTCATGAGGAAGGGTGACATTTACATCTGTTTAACACATACATCTGCTTTCCCAGCTAGGATAGAATTTTGCACAAGGGGGCAACTGAGGGACAATTACAGTCAGGTACAGTCAATACTCTATACCAACTAGTACTGCATACTAAAACTGATCCCACAGCATTTTTTTCTTACAGAAGAACAGATGTGTCTGAAATTCATTACCAGTTCAGCAAGAGTGAACAAGGAACAATTCTGTACTGAATTTAGTATGAATATTCCTCAAGCAACATCAGCATATACTTACCAATTGTTGCTGCAAGTTCCGGGTCAAACGTATCATCTGTGAACCGCAGCAAAAGGCTGATAGGGAGGGGAGAAAAATAAGATACAGTATTAGAATACCAGGCATTTTGTTATTGCATCATATCCATCTCTTGCCAGAAGCATGCATGCTACGAGTCTGAAAGTAGATTAATCAGAAGCGCGATCAGAATATCCAATAGCTAAATAGAGAACAGGTCTCAGTTTGCCATGATTTCTTTCCTGTAAAACCCAAGAAAGGGAATGCAGTTATTACAGTAGCCATGCTCAGCGAGAAGTACCTGGGCCTTTTCTTCTACCATCTACTGCTGAGTATGTGTGAAAAAAAAAAAAAAAAAAAAAGTACCACTCATGTTGTCAGATCAGTTGCCCAGAACAGTCATATGCTCTGCTTCTCAAAGTGTTTTGCTTCTATCAGATTCTATTTTTACTCTTCCAGAATTTAGTACAGAAGACAGACATTTTTTGGCTCCATATTGCCTCACATAGTATTTCTGCAAGCTTGTATAGCATGCTGTGTGCTCAGGCCAAAGAATAGCTTGTAAAAATACTAAGGGCTACACACATCAGAAAAACTCACAGAAGTTTAACAGTAGAAATAGCTTGCCACTGCTTTAGAAGTTTGCTTCCTTTCTGCACCAAAAGATTCCACATACACAACATCTCCCCAGCGCACACAACATCCAGATACATTTGCCACCAGTATAAGAATAGGTACAATTAAATACAGACATAGTACATTACAGTAATAATGTCCTTCTAAAAAGTGCCCAGCACAGCCACTGTACTTGTGACAAATATATAGATTTTTGTATGTATACATGTATACATTCTTAGTGCACTATTTTTTAAATCACCAATCTTACGTATTGGTGAAAAATGCACATTACCATGCAGCAAACAGCAGTTTGCTATGACTACTGACAGTCTCTGTACATTTTCAGGCTAGAGAAACAAAGGAACAGGCTCTGTGGGGTCCTCCTGTGTTTTTTTGTTTTGTTTTTGTCTTGTTTTCGCTCTCCCTCATCTTTTTTTGCATGTTCACTTAGTACCCAGGTATTTTTAGCACTTGGCCACAGTACTTCATCTCCAGAAACGTGGCTACTGAGCTTTCTTTGCTTCAATAAGTCTGGACTATAATTCCAAAGTTAACCACAAACCAAGTTCCTTTCCCATTCAAGAATCCACTAAAAGTAGCAGCCAAAATTAGTTTTATTTACTTGAGAGCAGTTTAAAAAGATAAGAATCAGAGAAATACAGGCAGAAAGGTTTTACTCTTCTCTGATCTTCAGATGTTTGTATCAGGATTCCACTAAAGAGCAGCTATTTTTACTTACAACCAGAATTAAGTCTCTCTAATCAGGCAAAACACAGAGCTCTCATACTACCATAGAACATACTCCCTGGCACTAGAGATAAGACAGCGTTTGGATCAGAAGTCAGGACTCAACCAAGCACCAGCCAGGCTAACACAAATTTAATGGTTGATCCTGTCTAACCAAGGAACAAGGGATCCAAAAGCAAGAATAGTTCCACACTAAAATGAAGCTTCCCTGCCTGAATAGCTACAGTATCAGCCTCTTGAAAGTTTTATTTCTTCTACATAAAGGCAAAGACTCTTTCAAAAATGTTTCTGTTTAAAAGAAGTAAGTATATAGCTAGAAATAGAAAAAAAGGTTTTGTGCATATTACCTAGGGGGAAGGAAAAAAAAAAAAAAAGTACTCTGCCACATATAAAAGAGATGACCTCACCTAGAATAAATTTGCTCAAGTCATGTCTGATACCAAGACTATTACAGCAGATTATCAGCTTCGTTGGTAACAGAAAAGTACTGAATAGCAGATTTTTAATGAATACAGGATTTCTTAATCAAGAACTTCCACGCTGTTTAGGACTACAGTGGAAGACACAAATTACTGATCTAAAACATTAAATCTAATGTGAATTGTGTGGTATATTCCCAGGTGCACTCTTGCATTCAGCTCCACTTCCCTTAGCACATAACCGACCAAAGAACAAAAGGCAGATTTAGAAACAATTCATGAAGAGTGTGCAAAATCAACCTCGAAGTACTTGAGAAATAGTATAACCAGCTAACAGGGAAGTCAGTGGCAGGATTACTTCACTCTTTACCCACTTATATTCCCCTGCCCCCTTCCACCC